GTTTCCTGTTGTGAATGCTTATGATTTCTATTTTGTTCTGGGTATTAACGGCTGCTAAATGAAAGTTTGAAGCTTGATTAGATATTATAATTCCGGAGTTTCTCAAATGGTGCTTGCAAGTTTTGTGGGTCGATGTTGATTTCATGAATAACATCTGTATTCTTAAGATCATGTGAGGGGAAATTAGCTTAGGTACAAAAAAAATTGGCCTTTTTCACCTATTGTCATATTCGTGTTGGTTTTCATTGAATTGAATCAGATAATTTAGGAATGGATATGTTGATGTTTCTCAATTGAAAGCCCTTTTCTAAAATATTCAGACCGTTTGTTTTTTCTGTTCCCTTTCTATGTGGCTTCTGTAGTTGTGGTTTGGTTTTAGCTATGTCCTTGATCGAATCTTATGAATGTTTTTATGGTATCTGATCTATCAAAGTATGTCTCAAGGCCAAAGAATGAATTTATGATTCAAAGAGGCTTCCTTTTACTTGTTATGATCTTAGGTTTGGGGAAAATGTGATCATATTTGATAAGCCAAAGACACACCTTTGGTGGTTTATTTTATTAGAGTGCTAAAGTAGAAAGCTTTCTACAGCCAAAAACTCAATTCTTAAAAATCCAAGGATATGGAAAAAAGTTGATGCCAGTGAATCTCTTTTTTGTTTACTTAAAACTGAGCTTCCTACAACAGTGAATCTCTTTTCTGTTTACTTATTGAAAGACTTTGTTTTGTTCAGAATATATTGCAGGTAGCAAAACAAAACCAATGGCTTTGGTGGTGTCAGGTGGCAAAGCAGCCACGATGCCACTTCTTCGCGCCAATGCTCTTCCTCTAAGTATCAACACCAAAACAAGAGTCCGAACTGCATCCACATTTCCGCTATTCTCACCCACTCTTTCGAGGTCCCTCTCCATCCGCTTCAAGCTCTCGCCGCCTGCTTCCCGGTCTCTCACTGTGGTATCTTCTGTTTTGTCAGAGGACAGAGCTACCGGTGTTAGTGGCTCTGGGACAGATGCATTCAAGCTGACATACTTGGAGGTGGGATCCTCTTCATATGGTTCGTTTTGAGGGATCTTTACTACTTGAGCATTTCATAAGCAAATGTTGACGACATGTCTTCGTTTTGGGGGTTAGGGAAATAGCTGGCTATGGGAAACAAGCGGACTGAAAATCCTGGTTGATCCGATCCTTGTGGGTAATTTGGATTTTGGAATCCCATGGCTCTATGATGCTGCCAAAAGATTTTTAAAAGGCTTTAAGGTAATACTTGTTCTGTTTTGCATTGCAGTTTAATCATCATTAAATCTCTCATTGTGTGATTGTAACAAGTTTCTAAAAGATTTAATATTCGGTACAGCTTGATGATCTCCCTGAAGTTGATTGCTTGCTCATAACTCAAAGCCTTGATGATCATTGTCATCTGAATACCCTTAGACCACTATCTGAGAAATCTCCAGGCATTAAGGTTATTGCAACTCTAAATGCTAAGCCTTTGCTGGATCCTCTTTTTCGAAACGTAAGAAACTCGTTTCATTTTTCTTAGTCTATCCAACTTCACCGGATTTGCAGTCTATCTTCTACAAATTAGAAAATGAGAAGGACTGGTCTATTATATTATGGTTTCTGAAATGTCATTGTAGGTTACTTATCTGGAACCTGGAGAAAGCTACGAGCTAAATACAAGAAACGGTTCTCAGGTTCGAGTTAAAGCCACACCAGGACCTGTTCTCGGTCCACCATGGCAACGCCCTGAAAACGGGTAAAAAGCTATCATCAAGCTTTCAGTTTCTCCATTGAAATTTTATGCTACAACATTTAACAGTGTTTCTGGTTGCACTTTGTTTCGCAGGTATATCGTTGTATCCCCTGAAGATCAGATATCACTCTACTACGAACCGCATTGTGTATACAACATGGAACTTTTGAAAAATGAAAGAGCCGACATTGTAATCACACCGGTCATCAAACAACTTCTCCCACGGTTCACTCTGGTTTCTGGCCAAGAAGACGCAGTCCAGCTCGCGAAACTCTTGAAAGCCAAGTAAATAATCACCTCTCTCTTTTTTTCATGTGCAACCTCAAGAAAATGTATTTCCCTCTGCATTTTGTAGTATCTCAGTCAGGTTTTTCTTGGACTGTAGGTTTGTTGTACCGATGCAAAATGGCGATCTTGATGCAAAGGGAATTTTAGCAAGCATAATAAAGAAAGAAGGAACAATTGAATCATTTAAGGTGCAGCTTCTTAACCACCAAAATATTGAAAGTCCAAATCAAATTTTTATTGCTCCATCTGGATGGATCAATGGTGGCATATATAATGTTTTCGATGTTTGAATCGTGGATGCAGGAATTATTGTCAAGGGAGGTCCCAAAAGCTCAAGTGTTGGAACCCGTAGCAGGCGTGCCGCTAGAGATCTTTGCTCCATCTTCAGACATTTAGAAAGTAAACGGTACATGAGGAGGATACACACACATGTAAATATATATTCTCTCATGGCTCTTAAATAGTAACTTGAACTTTTGTAAAAGAATTTCTTAAAACTCTTAACTCTTCGAGTTCAGATGTAAAAACTCAAAGATCTACAAGAAGCCTAGCTAGTGCCAAATTCATAAAACCATCATGGTCTTTTCTTAGAACAGTGGAAGTCAAAAGAAAAAGACCAAAGAATAGTCACATGTTGGGTGGTAAAATGGTTATTGCCTTCTTGCCTTCTTGGGTTGTCCATATATACTAATTTTGAAATATGGTATCCAAGAATTGATATTGTTTTGTAGTATGCAGGTTAATTTCGAGGTCTTGAGCAATGCACATTTTGAAGATTTTGCAGGTGGAACAAGAGAGAAATTTTGGGTATATTTCATAAGTGTGGTGGATGGAGAGTATCCAAAGTCAATAGCCATGAGAAAGTTACAAGAAGAAACTAGGGTCATTTCTTCTGAAATTATCTCTAAGATCGTTACGCTTAGTTAACATTTGATACAATACTAAAACTTATACTATGAATCAGAGTATTTTACCAATTATGGTTCTTCAGTGGTCTAAAACATGTATTGTTCCAAATTGGTGACATGTGATTTCCTATCTAACAGTAAAAGTAAGGGTCAGTCGTCTATGGGGCGGTGAATGGCATGGTCAACCTCCAAGATAATAAAATTTGTAGTCTTGAATAAATAAATGAGTGTTTTGTCCAAAAAGAAAAATAGTGTAAGGAATCAATTAAAATTAATTAGAATGAGTAAACAAACATACACAATACACTTTGTAAAATAAATATTTGAATAATTTTGACTACACTTTTTTTTGTTTACAAGTAAAAATGTAAGTATATTCCCCGGAAATAGAGTAAAGTAGCATATGCTGAATTTTGAAGAACAAAGAAAAAAATTAAAAACAGAAAGTCAAAGAATTTGTCTGTCTGGAAATGAAGAAAGGATCTAATTTATTTACTTAACAAAGAAAAAAAAGACCAGTCAACCTAAGAATCTTCTTGATATCACACAGAAGAAAGAAAGAGAGAC